TTTATTTATTTATTTATTTATTTATTTATTTATTTATTTATTTATTTATTTATTTATTTATTTATTTATTTATACCCCACCTATCTGGTCTACAAGGCCACTCTTGTAGGGAAACAAAATGCAAGGAAGGTAGGGAAAGTTACAGAAAATGGAATGCAGACTTCCAATGAATAGCAAGGAGAAACAAGAGGGCCTTCTTAAAGGAACAGTGCAAAGAAATAGAGGAAAAGAATAGAAAGGGAAAAACTAGAGATCTGTTCAAGAAACTTGGAGATATTAAAGAACATTTTGTGGAAAGATGGACATGATAAAGGACAAAAAAGGCAGGGACGTCACAGAAGCAGAAGACATCAAGAAGAGGTGGCAAGAATACACAGAGGAATTATACCAGAAATATTTGGATACCCCAGAAAACTCAGATAGTGTGGCTGCTGACCTTGAGCCAGACATCCTGGAGAGCGAAATCAAGTGGGGCTTAGAAAGCATGGCTAAATGGCTAATAACAAGGCCAGTGGAGGTTATAGCATTCAAGTTGAATTATTTAAAGTCTTAAAAGATGATGCTGGTAAGATACTACATTCAATATGCCAGCAAGTTTGGAAAACTCAGCAGTGGCCAGAGGATTAGAAAAGATCACTCTGCATCCCAATCCCAAAGTAGGACAGTGCCAAAGACTGCTCCAGCTGCTGTACAATTGCACTCATTTCACACGCTAGCAAGGTTATGCTAAAAATCCCACAATGTAACTTGTAATTTCTAATTTGACCTCCCATTAGTATAACTACCTGATGTCCAGCATCTTTCAGTAATTTGCCAGCAGTGAGTCCACTTATTCCTGCACCAACAATCACGACTATCTTTGGCTTTGCAGTTTTGGCCAGTCCATTTCTGGAAATGTTTAACAGTTCTTCATAATCAGAGTCTTCAAAACACTTCATCCATTCCTCTTTTTCAGCAGCATGAAGAGGTTTATAGATCAAGACTGTCGCAAGAAGTAAGAAGGTATAAAAAGCTGGAAGAAAAACAACAGCCAGGATTTAACAAGGATAATGTAAAAGGGAAAGTAAATCGAAAACAAATGCTAATTGATAGAGATCTCAAAACCAAAAAGGACCAAGACTGGGACAAAAGAAGAGAACCATGAGAACTAAGGGTCAAATTATACATGACATCAGTCATGTTGTTTGCCCTGGAATAAAATGTTTCTGTTTCCCTTAATTAGCAACAGAGTCCTTCAAAATGGATCACAAGAGCAGGGGATCTCTTGACTGTGTGGGAGACAGTCGTAGCTGCATAGGAATAGAAGTTCCTGTTCACTCTAGTGGAATCTTTATTCTCCACATTAATTGAATATATGGCCTTAGGGACAATACAGACTGGCACCACGATGAGGCACAGGGCTGAAGAATGCTGATATCTAGACAGACCAGTGTTCCGAATTGCGGTGTAGATCTGTATTGGGTTTTGAATTGGGGAGTAGGTCTGTATTGCCACATATAAAAAGACAATGGCAGAAAGAAACTTCACAATCTCATTTTCAAAGAGGAATCAAACAGATCCCATTATTTGGCCTAGGAATGGACATTATTTACATTTCAGCTTCCCTGTTATAGGTTTGTCCTGAATCTTCTTGTAAACCTGGATAGTAAAGACAATTCAACAATCCACAATGCCAGTTTAATCCATTCCTAAAATACTAATCTAGGAATAGCAGTGGGTGCTGCTGGTACTCATCATCATAATCAAGTACAATTATTAAGTGTAGAACAAATTAAATGAGTCCCTTATGGGAGAAATAAAATAAAATACAGTACTGTAATGAGAAAGATCACAACCATTGTTTCATATCATAAAGGAGAAGATCAGGCTCATAGCATTATTTATGCGAATATAATAAACCACTTACAAAACTGGCCCATGTTTTGATCTTCAATGTAGGAACGTTACAGAGTTCTCTTATTTTATAGCTACAGTGTTGCTGCCGGTCAGCCAATGGTGATTCAGAACTGGGGAGGAATGGCTTTCTCAACTGAAACTTTTTCAGTGGTCATCTTTTCAAAGGGCAGTGTCCCAACACACCTACCTGGGAAAGGTCACCTGAACCACTGTGCAACACCATTGCACATATGTAACTGTAGTATAGAGTGTCACACTGCCAGGATATATGACACAACACAAAGATTGGGCAACCGTTTTTCTGCTAATAAAAGTATGTTTTCAAAACTGGAACATCAAGGTGGCAGGACTCAAGGTGTCGTAGGAGGAAGGCTGACAATGAGATAAAGGAGCATCGTACCTTTGGTCAATGAATTGGGAAACAAGATCTTTGGTAAGAACCGGATGGGGCCAACAGATGATGAACTCTGCTTGTCTTTCCTCAAATAACTTGTTCTGCAGCCCTGGTCATGCAGTGCTGGTATTTTCTGGCTGATTGGTATAGATTAGACTGAGGATATAAATCATGAAACCTATTAAACTAGATATATCTCCACCTTTCTCTCTTTTGATAATCAAATGCCTTCGCGAGAGGCGATTGTTCCTTTCAATACCTGTCTTCTGAATCAAACCTCTTTATCGACCAGTTTCCTAATGTTGGGGTGAAGAAACAGTCATGGCATCTACATCAATTCTGAAGCAGGGGGCAGATTAAACTCTCTCCGGTCCCCATTCTCAGCAACCTGTATCAAGACTATCATCTCATTACTGCCAGAACAATAGTCATGGGCAGGAGGGAAGGTTAGGTTGGGACCAAGCAAAGCTGTGAATAGCTTGAGGGCTGCATGTTGTTCACATGTGGTTTCTATCATTTAAATAAAAATATAGCTAACAATATATTGTTAAATGCCATAAGAAAAGATAATAATGTACCTGCTAGTCAATTCTGCCTTAAGGTGACCCTTTCTAGGGTTTTCCATACACTTCTGAGTATGGTATACCATTCACTTTTTCTGGGGACATTCTGCAGCTTTCCCGAAGACACACAGGCTGGCTCTACTCATAGAAGGCACAGTGGGGAATCGAACCCCCAACCTAAAATACTGAGCTATCCAGCCATATATAGCAAAATGTAGACACCTGAATTCCTTGAAATACTGAAGCAATCCCTTCCAGTTGAAATGGTCTATTCATCCTCTGGTGGCCATCTTCCTGATGACAGCCCTCTCCCTACCTAGCTACGTGCATCTTTGGACAACAAACCAGAGTTTGGAAAAGTTTTGAATCGGCAATATCTGGATTGGTTTTTCAGCCAGCATAGCCCACATGGTCGGATTCTGTACTCCAGTGAAAAAACTTTCCCAAGTTCTGTGACAGACACAGAGTGTCTGGGGCTATACTCAGAGCCTTACAAACCTGGTACAATCTGCCAGAACTTACTCTCGCATGACGTAGTCCAGGGTCACCTCTAGACCACAGTGAGGACTCTGTGGAGGATGTCCCTATCAATCAACTCTCAAAATTAAGATTTGGATGAAAATACTACACAAACATTCAAAAGCAACACCAAGAAATTGATGTGGCACCCATGAAAAGCCAAAGGTTGCCTCAATGTCCAAATAACACCACATGTTAAGAAACCTGATAGATCTGTTGACAGGGATTGAACAGATTCACATGGATTATGTGACACTGATGATGACATCAATTATTTTATTTATTTATTATTTTTATTTTTTAGGAGAAAGAATAACTCTTCTGCCGGCCACAGAGACTGGTGAAACGTTAAGAAGAACAACAGAACACGGCCAAAGAGCCCGAAAAACCCAGAACAACCATTAGATCCCGGCCGTGAAAGCCTTCACGAATACATTTTTAAATATTGTTTTACAGTTGTGAATGAGGTGCCTTGGGTTCTTTTTTTCCTTTCCCCAAAACAAATACAAAAATACAAAATATGTATTAACAATCTAAAACACAGTGCACCACATATGCACGGGGCCCTTTGGAGCAATTCTTTTACTACGAACCTCCTTTCCAAAATTTTATTAGTTTTTGCTTAAAGGCTTTCCCATTTCCTTTCACTAGTACAAAATCAATAATTCAATCCCAAATAGCATAGAAAACATTTAAACTTATTTCCCCTCTTTTCATCTTAAATTCAATGGTCAGTATGTCCCATACTTTATTATACTAATCTTCTAAATTAATATCATTTTTATCTTTCCAGAATCTAGCTATTAATATTCTAGCACTTGTCATAAAATTAGAAATCAATTCTTTTGAGCAATAATCAAGTTCTGTCTTATCAAAAATTGACTGCAAGGCAATTTTAGAGTTAAATTCAATATCTTTTCCAAATACTGTATATCACATATTTCCTTAAAAATCAATTTTCAAAATTTTTGAATCAATTTACACTCTCACCGCATATGATAATACGTGCTAATTTCTTCATCACATTTCCAACAGGCCTTAGAATACTCTGAATTTATTACGTTCAATTTCAACAGAGCCATGTACCACCTTAAACTAATTTTTTAAAAATTCTCTTTCATTCTTACTGACATTAATCTTAAAACTCTCATCTTCCAAATTTTTTATTCAGTCCTCTGTTCTAATTTCTGTCTTCAAATCATATTCCCAAATTGATTTCAAACCTTCTATTTCAATCTCACTTTCCTTCTGATCCAAAATTACAGTAGGTTATAAATTCTACTTACTACTCCTTTCTTCAAAGCAGCCTTCTGCATGTCTTCATGTGACAATAGTAATTGTTCATACATAGTCCAATCTCTACATTTGCCATTAGTCCTCAACCATTCATTAGTCCATCTGTCTAATTGGATATAATTGTACCATGATAATTTATTATTTTGAAGTTTAATTATAATCTGATCCTTCGATCTCATTTTAATCATCCAATCCTTCAATCTGGCAACTTTTTTATCCTTAAATAAATCAACAAAGAGACATCGAGTATTTTAAAAACAATTTTTTGTGGAATTTCTTTTAAGATATGGAGCCCCAAGTTGTATTCGACCAAGCTGTATACACCCCCTTCTAAATTTGATTAGAAGTCCATTTTGTGTCTTTGGAATGTATCCCAATTCAATTTTTTGCATATTTGATTTTATCCTGGATCAAATATAATCACTAAGTTTCTCATTATTGACTGGCACTGGAAAATGAAAATGTCTGTGGCTTTTATGTTTTTGTGTTGATGTGCATGGGACTTAGCAACATGATAAACCCTAAGAAAGGGAGCTGTTAAATGTCTCACACCTAGCATGAGGAGTTTGTGTACTTGTCTCATTTAAAATTTACATCTTACTTAAGGAATCAACCTATTTATGTCTTACTTATGTGTTTAGTTACTCTAAACACAGGGAGCAACTACATAGCAGGAAAACTGCAAATTGATCTGCTGCGAAGTTGTGCTGAAGAAGTTCACTTTTCCTGCTGTTAATTCATTTCAGCCCACCACATAGGTGTCTGCAGAGAGAGGGTGAAATAATTTTCAGCTTCCTAAGGCAGCTCTGCTCTACTCTGACCTTCCATATTGGCAGGAGGCGCAATTAGAGCACAGCTGGCTTAACAAGCTGGAAACAACGTCAACTGATAACTTCCTCTCCTCTTTCTGCAGATTCCTCTCTCCTCCCCGCTCCCACTTTAGTTGCCTAGCATTGGAGGAAAAATTACTGCTGGAGGGGGCAGGAAAATCTAAACTGATAGAGAAGGACTTGTACATCATGTAGTCAGTGGAAACTAATGTTCATCAGATTATCCCAATCCTAGAAGCTTTCTTGTATTATCTGTAAATGTACTCCCATCCACAAATCAGTTTGCAAATTCATTTCACTTTTCCTTAGAACCAAATCTGACCATTTCACTACAATCCAGTCCTCATACACGCTTCTGTTTGGAATTTGTGATAGATCTGAACCCTGTGTGCAGCTCTATTTTCAAATGAGGACCTGACCATATGAGCATTTGTTCTGCTTCCCTTGTGTCTGTGATATTGGTAGCACATCCTTGGATCACATGATGCCAGGCTGAAACTAGTGGCAAAAGAGTTCAAGTAGAACAAAAACTTGTAAGCACCAACTATGTCAATCTGTGGTTTTGCATACCAGGAAATATTGCAATGAAGACTTACTAGCAAGCACATAACTTTACAAATATTTCTGTGAAGTGCCGATCCAAACCATGGTTCAGGCAGTTTCTTGGTCAGCACTAAACAAAGGAAAAAAATTAATTCCTACTTATAATCTGAAGAGACACCAGAGTATATTAATTAATTTAATCTAAGTGATTCAGTACATCAACCATGGTCTAGCACAGTCAACAATATAATTTCACTTGGCTTGTCCCTCTGTAGAGGAGCAGGAGAAATGTTCAATTGACAATGGAAGGAACCAGAAGACTGAGCTTAATATGCTCCTAAAGTGTGTGAAATGGCACATCAAACCTCCCCATCCCTGATTTCAAGTAGCCCTATTTAGACCACACCAGATAGCACCAAAAGGGCCAGCACTAACTCAGTCCGCATAGGCGTACATATAGGACACTACTACTACTACTACTACTACTACTACTACTACTACTACTACTACTACTACTACTACTACTACTACTACTACTACTACTACTACTACTACTACTACTACTACTACTACTACTACTACTACTACTACTACTACTACTACTACTACTACTACTACTACTACTACTACTACTACTACTACTACTACTACTACTACTACTACTACTACTACTACTACTACTACTACTACTACTACTACTACTACTACTACTACTACTACTACTACTACTACTACTACTACTACTACTACTACTACTACTACTACTACTACTACTACTACTACTACTACTACTACTACTACTACTACTACTACTACTACTACTACTACTACTACTACTACTACTACTACTACTACTACTACTACTACTACTACTACTACTACTACTACTACTACTACTACTACTACTACTACTACTACTACTACTACTACTACTACTACTACTACTACTACTACTACTACTACTACTACTACTACTACTACTAGGTAGGAGAGTTATGATAGCAGACAAGAGGACTAACATGGTGAACTGGTAGAATTTCAGAGGATCTGGAGGCTATTTTTGCCTGGGCCTTGGCAGGCCACATGTATATCCATATTTGTCGATGCTACTTAAAAAAATTTAGTAGGACAAACTTATTGTGTTCCCAGGAGCCTTGGAGAGGAAATCTGCCATTTAATGTAGTTGTTCTTCTAATTTCTATGGAAAAGAAACCTTAGGTTAGGCTTAAGTCAGAGTGACGTGATGGCACGTAACAACAACAACCAACTTGTAAAAATATTGGCCAAATGCTGGGATAGAATTAGTATTGAGGCTCTCTTGATAAACTTGAGCCACATTCCATCAACAGAAATTATGGCGTTACTTTTAGTGCTTGCTGGAAACCTTTGTTTTGTAAAGTGGATAGACTGGTTTTGATTGTAGTTTGGTGTATTCAAAGTTAGCTTTATTTTAAATGATATCTTCCCTGAGAAGATGGCACAGGATATCGCCATTGAAAGCTTGGACTATCTAAACAATAAACATGTATTGACACAACTGGAAACCCATAAGCTGTTTATGCAAAACAACACACTTCTTGAAGGGCTGGCAAGTCCACATCTTTTAATAGTAAAGAACTGCATCAAAGGAGAAAAGACAAGGGACTGGAAGTTGGTCCTCTCAGCCGTCAGCACCTGGAGACAGCATTCCTTGCTAATACACTGAGATACATTGTGCTTTGATTATAATACAGTTACAACTGCTAAATGTGCAGCTAAAATTTTATATAGGAGGCATCCTTCCGTCTCGAAAGACTATGGTAGCGTGCTCTGTATGGGGGACTTGGAACAGCGTCTAGTGTGGCTGAGGAGGCCAATTCGAGAGTTACAATCTCTTCCACACTGAAGACAAATCCAATCTGTCCCCTGTCCAGCTCCCTGGTTTTGCTTCCTTTGTGACTTCCTCTTTGCCTCGGCCTGCTGGACAAGGGTCTCTTCAAATTGGGAGAGACCGTGATGTACCGCCTGCCTCCAGGCTGAACGATCAGATGTCAGAGCTTCCCATCTGTTGAGGTCTATTCCTAAGGCCTTCAGATCCCGCTTGCAGATATCCTTGTATCGCAGCTGTGGTCTTCCTCTGGGGCGATTTCCCTGCATTAATTCTCCATATAGGAGATCCTTTGGAATCCGACCATCAGCCATTCTCACAACGTGCCCAAGCCAGCGTAGACGTCGTTGTTTCAGTAATGTATGCATGATGAAAATTTTATATACATTGGTGGAATTTTGGTGTGTGTGATGAGGTATATTTTATTTCCTTTCCTGGCAATGGATAAGTGGCTGTCCTAGTCACATTACCCACTTTATTAAATTACCGCAGTAGAAGAAACTTCTAGAAAATTCACTTCCATTGATGTTCCTCCACAGAGAAAAAAAATTTAAAAAATAATCAGGTGCTCCACTTATTGCTGTTTCTGGACAATATCTTCTTCTGTGCTTCACAAGTACCAGGAAACTTCTGTGATTTGGATTTGGACTCTATTTGCTCCCCCACCCTCAAGCTATAAGAAAACCTTTTTCTACATGGTGAATATTCACCTTAAACATAGATGATGGCAGGAAGGCCATTTGATTACAGTGGTGCCTCGCTTAGCGAGGTTAATCCATTCCGGATTAACCCTCGCTCAGCGAATCCATCGCTAAGTGAAACAAAAAAGCCCATAGGAACGTATTAAAACTGATTTAATACGTTCCTATGGACTCAAAAGTCACCATTGTGCGAGTTTCCTCCATTGCGGCGGCCATTTTGGATGCCTCGTTAGCGAGGCAAAACAGCGGTCGCCATTTTGTTTTAGCGGCAGCCATTTTGGAACCGCTGATCAGCTGTTCGCTATGCTTTGATTGCGTCCGCGCGATCATCGCATAGCGAAAAAAGCCCATAGGGGCCATCGCTGAGCAAACGCTCCAGCGATGGCCTGGGACCCTTCGTTATGCGGTTTCGTCGCATAGCGAAGCGTTCGCTATGCGAGGCACCACTGTACATTCCAATCAAATAGGCAGCCCATCAATTTGGTAAAGAATACTGCATCATACAGTCATGTTTCCCTGAAGCTTACAATACAGGTTGATTGAGGTGAATGCCACTTGCTGCCCGGATCGCAGATTTCATGGCACTGTCAATCCAAGCGTGAGGGTGAGCTGTGTGTTCTCCAGCAAAGTAGACCCGCCCTTCGTTCCGAAACAAACTCTTGAAAAAGTGGCTGAACTGGTATGGAGTGGGAGAAGCAAAAGCCCCCATGGAAAATTTATCGAGGGCCCATTTTTGGATCACGTGCCTGTTACAAACCAATTTGAGATAATCTTTAGATATATTGTGGACTTCTGACAAATCATCCATCACCACGTCAAGACACTTTTCCTCGCTGAGGGGAACAAAGAAATCTGCATCATCATGCCAGGTGTAAGAAACCAGAAGGACCCCCAGGCCACTTGTAAAGTTATGGTTAGGGTAGTAGATCATTCGGGATGGGTGGTCGGTGATTGACCTCCCCCCTCTAATGCCATCCTTCTCCCAAAACCGGTCTGTGCAGGCCAAGGCGATTTTAGTTGAGCTGGCATAATGGAAGGAGCGGAAGGCGTGAACCTTGGAGTGGGAAAGAGGCGGCTGGAATCTGATGAGTCGTGTGGCTCTCGCTGTGGATGTGACAAGGACGTAGTCGGCAGTCAAGCACGACTGGGCGTTTTTCTCCAGCTTGCGGAAAAACACCCTCACCTTCTCGTCTGAGCGAACAATCTTCTCCACTCTGCTGTTTAAACGGATTGTCCCAGACAATTCCTGGGCGAAGCGGTTGGGGAGCTGGTCAAATCCCCCGGTGATTTCCTCAAAACTGAAGAGGTCATGGATAGGGAGGGGGAAAGAGAAGATGAAACCAGTGAATAGGTCAACCCGTTGAACAACACTCATGGGGACAATGAAAGGACAATGCGTTCTTGTACAGCTGTATTTTGCCACTCAAGGTCTCCACCGCTAGAAGTCACTGTATCAGTGTAGCTAACGGCAGGATCAGGTCTGGGCCTGACTTTTCAATTTAGGTGCTAACGAACTTGTGGGAATAATCCATAATACCCTTGCCTCTAATGAGGATGAAGTTTTCTTCATTATGAAGACAGACAGTATCTTCCCCATTACCTGTTTTCGTCGAAAAATGTGATGTATTCCACGATGGAGTAAAGAAATGAAATGTGGAATCCAGAATCTTCGTTTAAAAGGTCACCGATCATATCTACTGCTCCTCTGCTCAAATGTCCTTCTTTAATTAAGTATTCCTAATTGTAGGGAAATAGAGATTTCTTGAGATGTCAGTTAAGAATACAAGTGTTTCCTTTTTTGCTTCGCCACACTGACCCTCTGATTGATTTAGCTACACAGCAAGAGAAATGTAAATGGAACTGCTATGAAGATGCACTCAATAGCTTGGGTTTCCCCAGGTCAATTCGCTTTCGCCAATCACAAAGAACTTATCAGAGAGAAGGGGGAGAATTGGCAATCTATCAGCCTTGTCCAGATTAGCATGAGGAATGGTTACGGCAGAGCTACCTGAACAAGCTGTAAAAAAAAGGGGGTGATTTATAATTTCCTTCTCTCTCTCTACTGACTCCTTTTTAACCTCTTTGGTCACCTAGGTGCTCTAATGCAATGGAACCAGATCATTAACAAAGAGAAAAGAAAGGGAATGCAATGGGTAGGGAAATGAAAAGGAAAACAAGCGGACACAAGGCACACCACAGGAGAGGATTAAAATGGCAGCCAGTTTCCACATGGCCCTGACTCTCTCTCTCTCACTGGAATGGTTTCAGATGGAACAGCTAT